AATATAAAAGATGATGTGACATGTCGTTATCTTATGTTAAAATATAAAAGATGATGTGACATGTTGTTATCTTATGTTAAAATATAAAAGATGATGTGACATGTTGTTATCTTATGTTAAAATATAAAAGATGATGTGACATGTTGTTATCTTATGTTAAAATATAAAAGATGATGAGACATGTTGTTATCTTATGTTAAAATATAAAAGATGATGTGACATGTTGTTATCTTATGTTAAAATATAAAAGTTGATGTGACATGTTGTTATCTTATGTTAAAATATAAAACTCATATTGTCAATTAAATGAAGGAAAGAGGAATAACTATTTCAAGCATAAAACAAAACAAAAATATATACAAAACCATCTGACTGAAATAGACATTGGACAGTAAACAAGAGGAAGACCATATCTTCAAATAACTTTCATATATGTGACCTAAACAACTTTCCCATGACAATTTTCTATTGAACTTGACTAGCAATTTTCAGATCATTTTTACTCTGTGTGGGTGGACAATACCTGAGAGAATCTTCTTTAACACATTTAAAAATACAACTGAAAGTGTCCTCAGCCTACTAGTTTTACACAATTTGTCATGAATGAAAGTCTGAATTTGTTTCATCAGGTCACTAAACATATCTTCAAGACAAATAGGAGGCAACAACTGTGTTCATCTTTCAGAACATCACTAGTTAAGTTAAGTCAGGAAAAAATAAAATGTGTTGATGATCAATAGAATTTAAATGGGTATGCCAAAATGTCTGTCCGGTAACTTTGCAAGACAGGATCTTAACTGTAATCATTACAAGTATTTTGAGTCTAATTGTCAGTTTGATATGTTTGCAGGGAAAATTGTTGATGAATCTTACCTTTTCTTTGGTGTGACATTCTTAGCTTCAACTACCCATAATTTTAAAGAATTATCTGTTCTTCTACAATGTTCTTGATTTGGTTTTGCTGTTTTCCTTAAACTGTAATAAAAATTTCAGAAATGTAAAGAACATTAAAAACTTCTTTGAAAGTCTAATAATGAAACAATGTAGGGGCAACCAAAGTCAAAAGTTTGTTACAGTTTATAATGATAAAGGTTGGTTTGATCATCATCATAAGATAATTGCTTGTTTCATTTTCTGGGGGAGATTTCAAACCCTGTCTCTGTACATTATGGAGCTAATCACGAGGAAGATGCATGACAAGAACTTGCTGTTCACTTGACATGGAAGTTGTGAATTGCACCAAGAAAGACACAAGAACATTCTGTCCACTCATAGGGAGGATGTGAAAGTACTTAGAAGGATCCTAGAGTACTAGTACAAATGTCAGACTCTACGACATGAGATAATGTCAAATGTCACATGACATTCTGACACTGACATCATAATGAAGGTTATTCAAGGTCAAATGTTCCAGGTCACGACCCCACCTAAGATATATTTTGTGGTATCTCAGTAGGGTTTAGAATTAACAAGGATTAAAGCAATAGGAAAATTTGTCAACATAAATATTTTACATATTTCACACTAAACTCATGTAGATTAGGATTAAGCTTGTTGACATTATGATATACAGATGTAAATTATAATTGCTTTCAATGAAGAAATAGTTTTTTTTGTAGTAAAACTGAGAATCAGCACAACATTTAAAAATTCTTGCATGAAAACAATTAATTTAGATAGTTAATTAATAGTTAATGTAATTGAATTTTAATTAGAAACTTTAAACTGGATCAGAATAAATTTTGAAATGTAAAATGTTGCTTGAGTATATATTTGATTCTACTATTCAGAAACCATATTTAGGGGGAGATATTTCTCACAAAATATAACTCAACATACCTGTCAAGCCATTTATCTCGTTCCTCTGCAGTTCGACAAGAAATAAATTTACTGCCATGATGTGTGGAGACTTGAAAACAATGATCCTGGCCCAGTACGCTGCTGTGTAGAGGTTTAATACCAATATCTGGTGACGACATATCCATAGAATTCATACTGGCTGGCGTTGTCAGAAGAGATTCATGGGAACGTGAAGCTCTGATTCGAGAACTTATCAACGACCTGAAATCATAAAAATATTTTTTTCATAAAAACATGGTTTAACTTTTAACATATTTTCTCTGCAAAAAAAAATATACATAAATGTCTAAGTAATTTCATGACCTTTATTTGGATTCATAAAATTAATGCAGACGATATCAGATTCTTTCTGCAAAAATAAAATAACCACAGAAAAAGAAGAAAATTCTAACAATAGCCTGATAGTCATTTTCTCTGACTATGATCAAATCAAGTCAGTTATTACGGACTTTGTATTTACATTAACACAAATTACCAGCCGAGAAAATTCTACTTATTAAACTAGACAATTGGTCAATTAATTCTAATTACACAATTCATTGTTAGAACAGATCATCACTAAATACATAATTACACCATATGCAAATTTATGCAAATGAGATAAAAGGGGTGTGAATAAAAGATAGTGATTGATGAACTGTCAGCTTCGGTGTTGGTATCCTAATTGAAATATGGCGCAATCAGAGAATAGAAAGACAGATAAATTCACAGGGGGAATGGAATGTAATGCTCAATTATAATGAAAGTGACAGACAGAATGAATGAAACAATGATACTAAAGAGAGAAGCCTTCATTACAACTGAAAAGATAGAAGAAAGAAAGACAAACTAAATTGTTGGGTGTTTTCAATAAACTGCTTAGTGAGAGAGAGAAAGAATCTATAAAAAATCACAAATTGAAAAGATATAGAAAACAACACTACCATAGATGTTAATGTTTCTAATCTTTAAATTAACAAATGAAAGAAAGAATTGAACATAAGTGGCTCTTTACAGTAAATTAATGAATAGTTTTCATTATGATCTACATCGGTGCTAAAATAATTAAGGAAACTACCAATGTCTTGTAGAAGAATATCTATAGATCTAAAAATGTTGTCAAATATTACCATATTTCATATTTTGACATTGAGAGGATTTAATCTTGTGAGTGGAAAAAAACTGGCCAATCAGTATCCCTGATTAACATTAGTTTTCATTCAGACATAAATTTACAGTTGAATTTGTATACAATCCATAAATATGTCTTTAATCTCAATAAATCTCAACAAACATCCAATATACAGATCATTAGTACACACTAATAACCCTTAATTAACCTCAGTAGTCCCCCAATAAATACATCAATACCACACATCTGATATCAATCTTATAGTCTAATAGTAGTCTGTAGTTTCTAATGAGGTTCTGTCTGGGTTAAAAGTAATAAAATACTCAGGTAAATTGAATGCTGTCTAACTTTCACCTTTATTTATGGTTTAAGAACCAGAAACTGTCCAAATAATTATAGAATTTGTCCAACTGATTGTAAAACATGTCTGTTCATTTCTTTAAGTAGGTTTAGTGTTAGCTTCCATCAAAACAAACTCAATATTTATTTGTTATGTCTCAGTAATGGGTATCATTTTACAGGTAGAAAGCAATCAGAAGCACATGTTCACCTTTAAATGCCTGAATCAAATGAATTTGGATTTAATTTGTATTGTGAAGTATACAAGGAATATTGATTAAGGTGGTAGGGTAAACTAGGGTCATTCAGTCGTCTGGGTCAATATTAAGATTAATTCCTGGGAATGAGACTACGGTTGAGATACTTGATGTAAACAAGCCAATAACATTCAATGTGTCTAGCTTACCACACATGGTTATTAAATATTTTAGCCCTAAGCTGACATAGCATGTCTAACATTTGAACCCATCTGATTTTCCAGGCTCAGAATTGACAAAGTAATAAACTTAACTAAAGGATATTCTGATGTAATTCTGTGAAAATTTACATGTAAAAAGAAATAAGGCAGACTCAATTTCATTTTCAATCAAACTTTGATAGAATTTATTATATATTAAAGTTGCAGACAGACATGGCAACAATCTATGGCTTAAAAAAAATCTTCATGCAGATCCTGGGTTCAAGCTTGTAATTGGACAAAAATTTAAGTTAACATGAGGAAATGCCAATGTCTAGAAGTTAATTCCTAGACTAAGTAAATCAGATAAGAGATTAGATGAAATTTATTCCATGTTTAAGAGCCAGACAATCAGGAATTGATAGATAGTATACATGTCTTGCATGAGCAGAGTTAATGTCATAATGACATGAAGTCAAACTTAATGGATATCACAGACATGTTTAAATTTAAACTCTAATCTTATACTTGATGACTGTCAGCAAGTCTGTGATCATGAGTAAAAATTCTATTTCTATGATTGATTTCAAATAAATAACATAACTTATGATGAAAAAATTTGGTCTTACTATAAAATATATAATCCCATTTATAAATCCTCTAAATCAAAATCCTTTTTAACAAAATGTCATAGTGATCACCACGTTTTTCTGAGTTTTTAAACATTTATTTCCTCTTACTGCTCTCTTGTACTAAGAATAATTTGAGACAAAAGGATTAATAATAATTTGTTTCTTTCCACAAATACTGGAACAACAATAAACTTTGGTTTTATTTCTTTGAAGACAATTCAGTACAATTGTAAATGTTCCATAAATCCCTTTCAACTAGAAAGTGTCCAAAGCAAAGGCACAGTTTGCTCTGTGGTACATTAAAATCCTTTGTGAAAGTATTCCATATATCATTGACTGATATTCCCTTTGAAAGTCAGCTATAATGACAGTAATATGTGTTTCAATATGTTTATAATAGGAGGTTAAAACCACTGTTACAACCAGATGTCATCCAGAACACATGGTATCACGGAAATATCTACCTTCCTGTTTCAATATCTGTTAGTTAGAACACTTCCACATGTTAAATCAGACTAAAATAAATCTTTTTATCTATTATACTTAACAGATTTGTAATGGCAACATCCATTGGTAACCAAGTTAAGCATTAACACAGCACATAAAGACTGATCTACTAAACATTTCATCACCAAATCTATCTTATATTATATTCAATGAAAAATACACCCTAAAGTCTAATATCTTGCAGCTGACACATTAGATACAATGAGCAATAACAGACAAATCAACAGCCTGTGTCCTTAGGCAATAAGGTTTATAGAGTAAACTGCACCTTAAATCACCTGATATTCATGCACAAGTTGCAACAAGAACACTGCTATGGTAGATGAATAAAGTCCATTTCTGAAAGTCTACAACTTCAATGATTAGAAAATAATTTAATTATCAGAAAGACAATATATATCACATGTTTAAACAGAGTTTAAATACTATCTTTCTGTAACCATAGCATTAACCATAATTCAAATCAGATGGAAACTATTTAAAATAAACCCAAAGGAAAATGTCTTTATTGGTTGTCCACGCCAAGAGGCATTTGAAGTCTGTTTTAAATCCTGAATTAAGTCAGTGAACACAGATAAAAAAAATTTCTTCACTGACCAACGATTCTACAGCATGTTTCCTGTAACTACATTCATAAACCATTACACAAAATGGACACAATGTCTTTGAATTATCATCCAATGAAAGATGTTCCTTTTATCAAATAAATTCCTTTAATAAACATCAAATCTTTGGAATACATGCTTCTAAGCATCACAAACAATCACCCATACAGACTTCTCAATCCTATACTTTAACCTTGAGTGGGTTAGTAACCATCTGTAGCATAAGCAAATCCTATAATGAGTTTCAAAGCCAATGAGTTACTCCTTTCTGTCTTGTTGGTTGTTCACATGTAGTTAAGATCTGAGACCTCCAGCAGAGCCAAAACAAGTCCCTATGACAGTACAAAGCTAATGAGTCCCTCCTCCAACAGTAATATGTTACTGAAAGCTAATTAAAACTGTTTATTAAAACTCATTATGATAATGATACTGATGGACCCATACCACCAATAATAACTGCGTTTCCACTGACAATTGTGAAGGAACAATTGCCGAACACATTGCGTTTACACTGAGTTTTTCTGGTTCCCGAACGACTTTGGTCTCGATCATAAAGTCTCACATTATTGACAGCACGCGATGTACAAGACTATCGTTAAATCAGAAGTACATTATTGCGCATGACCAGTTAAGGTAAACAAAGCAATAATGGCGGCCAATTCGATGTTAACTTATAAATTTTTAGTTAAAAAGAAGAGAAAACGCAATTCTTACAGTGGATGTAACTTGGACATTCGTAGATACTTGCAGCGACGAAAGAAAGTTCAAATGCTGGTTTTGATTCTGATAAGAATTCTTTTTATCGACACGCCCCCTATTGCCGAACGAGAAAAAGCCGGCTTTCATTTGGCCCCCGATAAATTGCCGAACGAGAAAAGCTTCAATTGCCGAACCGTTACGGTTCCCGAAACGCTAACGGTTCGGCAATTTGTCAGTGGAAACACAAAAAAGCCGGCTTAGAGCTAGAGTCAGTGGAAACACAGTTAATATCATCATGGTTACCAGATGTGATTGACACCTATCTCTGTTGATACTGTATCACACCAGGCTATGTGAAGGGAATCATCATCCATGCAGTTTAATTTGTTTGGATTAAAATTGACTCAAATTTCATTCAGTAATGAAAACCACTAATTTGTTGTTTGATTCTGAGTTGGCAGCCATTTTCACCATCAGCTTTTCAATTTACTCTTATCTCTACACCAAATATTTCATGGATGCCATAAACCTTTCCTACAACATTAAACCCTATTTCATATGTCAAATTTGCTATGATGAATAAAAATCTGTTGCAAAAAGCTTATTTCGAATTACAAATACATATATATATGTGATCCAAAATACTTTCAGACCTTTTAAATCTTAAAAACCTATTATCATCCATTCTACTGATAATTATCATAACTTCTAACAATTTTCTAAATCAAAACCATATTCTCTATCACTTTAATCTTTTCAAAACAATTTAAATTTCACCATCATTTGACCTGAGTATGACCTCTAGACTTCTATGATATCAATTTTAAATTTTAATGGCTTTTCAATGATTATTTGTGGTTTTAGTAAATGGTCAGGATTTCCTTTCTATTGTTGT